TTTCACACAGGTGCAGTGGCTGTGGCTGGACATGAGAACCACTACATTTGTAAAAAGCATGCAGCTTCCATCACATTTTCACCTAGCATCCTCGACCTGTTACCAGTGGAAGGTACCCGAGTTCCCGGTGGTGAATCCATACACAACTGAAACAACCTCAATTCTTGCCTCCTCAGAAGAAATAATTTGACTGAGGGTCATAAGGTAGATACCAGATAGAGGCAAGTTGCAGAGAAGGAGTAAAATTTTTTTAAAAAGCAGGCCAGGAAAGGGCGTAGTGGCTCATGCCTGTAATTCCAGTACTTTGGGAGGCTGAGTTGGGTGGATCACCTGAGATCAGGAGTTCGAGACCAGCCTGGCCAACATGGTGAAACCATGTCTCTACCAAAAATACAAGAATTAGCTGGGCGTAATGATGAGTGCCTGTAATCCCAGCTACTTGGGAGGCTGAGGCAGGAGAATCTCTTGAACCTGGGAGGTAGAGGTTGCAGTGAGCTGAGATTGAGCCACTGCACTCCAGCCTGGGCTATAGAGTGAGATAGTACAAAAAAAAATGATTATTAAAAACTTTACAACAGGAAGTAAAGGAAAGAAGGAAAGTACAACTTGGAAGAGGGCCAAGCGGTCGACCTGAGAAACCAAGTGCCCAGCTTGACCTCTTGACTCAGAGTTTCACAGGTTGGCATCCTTCCGGGATCTTGCCACTCCTGATTCCTTAGCTTGGGGCTCCGAACACACTTTCTTCTTCGACCATAAAGTCATTCTGAGGGTACACATCAGGTACGGCTGTCGGGTGCCTCTGCCATACAGAGGGGTCCCTCTGGTCCTAGGAACCTGGACTGGACACAATTGTTTGTACGATTACTCCCCCTCCCCTTTTCTCATGCTCGCCAAATCCACCTTCTGAGAATGGACCTTAATACTGGAAATGGAGTCCCCAGCATAGTGAAAATAAATACATTCTACAAACTGACAAGGCCTAAAGGCTTTTTCCCAAATGTTTATGCACTTTTTCTTATTTTCTTTCTTTAAAATTTTACTTGTATATTCCTTTAGTGAAATGCTTACATGCTCAAATTAGGATATAGTTCGCTGTTTATGAGGCAGCTTTAGGCCACATTTAACAAAAGTAAGAACAAGTAGGATGCAAAAGTTTATACAGTATGTAAAAATCAGTAATTCAGGATGGGCTTAGTGGCTCACACCTGT